ACTTTGCGATTTATAACAACTTTTCAAACCTAGTTTTAAGGTCAAATGGCATTTGCCAAAATTGTAAAAATTTATGCAGTTGTTTTCAAAAGGTTTCTTACTATATAGGCTAACTTGGACCTAACTTACCATTGTTTTCTCAGGAAACTCTACCAACCAAGCGCCTGGAGACTAGGCCCCATGGTGGAAGTAAATAAGGTGTGCTACTGCGCATCGTAGCCGGCTGCAGGCGGTGCGGGGGAGGGGTATCGTGACGTCACCTTGGGGGCAAACATGCCTCGCGACCATAATCGAGCAGTGACGTCGATCTAATAAAATTGTAATTTTTAATAGTAAGAACTGATAAAAATTCCTGAAACTTTGCATAGTCTTGGACTATTAACATAGGATGCTTATGATTTAAATTTTATTAATTTATTTGAATTAAAAACCGAACCACCGATCAAACTTCAAAATTTTTCATAATAAAAAAAGTTAGTCGGCTACCAAATCACGTATTATTTGGTCAGGTTTATGAGACCTGCGGGAAAGTTTTAGGGAAAGGTTCTAATTTAACTGTAGTATCGGTTGGATTTCGATAAAAGAATTACTTTTTTAGCTACGAAAAATTATATCAATCGGCAACGGAGCGCACGCTCAGCCGATGCCACCGTTTATTGGATAATAAGGCCACACATTTATTATCCAAAACACTGTAGCTACATGTTATAAGGATATACTTTGTATTCTACATATCAAATTAAATATGTAATATTAACAAGTTTTACATTAAAATGCGTTGCTACATCTTCGTTTTTATACAAATTAACTCTCTTTGATAACAGTGGCCATACAATTTGTAGGATCGGAAATGAATAACATTTCCTTAACCAAAAACATAGTTTATTACATTTTGCAATCTTATAAAAATATTTACGACCTGAAAGTAAACATCTAAAAAATTAAACATTTCATCACCTCTGGATTTTTTAAACTTTTTTAAGTTTCTTTAGAAATTTTTTTTTTTCGCCACTAGCAAAATTACATTGTCTTAGCCTCCTGTTGATTTGTTGAGGAAAACTAAAATATCGCACGTTTGGTTGCGTTTTCTTATTTTTCGAACTATTACAACAACCGTACACTGCACAATGGGGCATTTTTGTAGAAAGATGTGTGCCCTATGGAAAACTGACATCTACTGCAACTCGCGGTGAACACAGAAACAAAAACAAAACAACACATGGTCATCCCCCGCACCCGAGCCAAAGTTGCGACATAGATAACAACCCCAGTGAAATAGGATCCTAGCTGTCGAACTGGAATATCACATTTTATTATCATGGTATTGCAAGAGTGAAACAATTTTATATTTTAACCTGATAATAAATACAATGTTTAATCACCAACTTATTTTTTAACAGAGTAGGCCTATATTTTATTTTACATGATACGTTAAATACATTCCTTTGCGTTAAAGATCATTTATTATTTAAACCACTATTTGCAAACTTTGGTTTTAACTAATCAACAACGATTTGTAATACTTTAAATGCAATTTGGCAACGTTAACCCTATTCACCAAGGAGACAATATTATATATTCTCTGCGAACTATTACGAAATAACCCATATTCAAACGGGGGGAAAACACACCGAAGTCAACAAACAACAATTTTTCACATAAAAATATAAATACAGGAATAAAAATATCAATGATACTATATTCATGAAACTACATTATTTGTTGGATGGCAATGTGTGATTAATACTTGGCAACTGACTCGACTCGCAGCACGCGCTCCGATCACGCGCTCATATAACTTAGAATATCTCAGGAAATAACGCCTCTAACGGTATATAGTTTGAAGGAAAGTTAAATTTGGATCTTTATCTAAAACTTTCCCGCTGGTCAAATCCTTCTAACCAAATAGTACGTGGTTTGGTAGCCGACTAACTTTTGCATGTTTAGTTTTAAGAAAGGCCAAGTATAAAGAGTGATTTCACGCTTAAGTTTTTAACAATTACAAACTATTTTTTCACAACACGCATCGTCCACTTATAATTGATGTCCATGTCAAGTTTCATAATTTTTCCTCAATTCTAACAGTTCAAAATGTTGATGTTAATAGAGCAGTGTCACGCTGAGCTATATACACGCGCAAAGCGGTTTGCCCCCAAGGTGACGTCACGTCGCGATGCGCAGAACGGTCTCAAACTCGTCCGGCTGAGTAGCACACCTTATTTACTTACACCATGCTAAGCCCTAGTGCAAACAAGAAAACTTGTAGGTTAGGCCTAATTAGCCCGGCTACAATTTGAGTAGGCCTAGCCTAAAATGTAATCTAAAGCCGCATTTACACGGGGCCAGTAGACCACTCGGCTTAAGCACTAGGTAGGCTACCCATTGTAGGCCTAGCCCAAATCAGCTAATATAGGGCCTAAGCGTTAAATGTAAGTATAACCATTTTTTGCAGCAGTTTGTGCAAAGTTATTTTAGAATTTTTAAGGTGGGTTTGGGTCTTAAGTACCATAGGCCTAATGGTGCCGTTACTTTGTTCGCTACCGAACATCCCATCTATGCGACGCTGCGGTCATTATTGCCACAGTCCGAGGTACCGGTATTCATTTTAATATTAGGCCCTACACATAGACCGGCTATCACGTGGGTAACAGTACACGCAGACCACGGGCAAAAACCTGAAACAGTGATCATTTACTTTGTAATATGCTACATTTGTGTTTGTAAATAATATATTCTCGTTTTTTTTTTTTTTTTTTAGACAACTCTTTGAAATGTCGCATATTTGCGAAGCCCGGTCTAGAGCGAAGACAATGGTCAAAATTGTTATATTTTTCTTGAAATAACTTAGCCCAAACGCCACATTCAAGCGACAGTTAATTTTTGCTTTATAGTTTTTAGGTCATAGTAAGTAAAAAAAAAAACGATTTTTCTAAATCAGTTTATAATTGAACAAATATCAAAGTTAGGTAGGCCTAGCCTACATAGGATGACGTTTTGCTAAGTTATTTTGATAAATTATCAAATGAAAAGAATTGCACAAAAAATTACTTTTCTTGAATTATTATAAAGTTTAAAGCTTATAATGAAACACATAAAATATCTTACGACTTAAGTTAATGCCGTTTTGTTACAATATCTTAGTAAATTTTCCAACTATTGTATAATATATTATAATCTAAATCTTCTCATGTATTGGCGTCAGCCGTTGGTCAATAGCCTAAATAAATTATATTATAAATCATATGGCGTCACCAATCATCATATTCACAGACCAAGCGACGCCGAGTTGCGACAGACATCCCTGTAAATAGGTCACTGCAGAGAATTCGGGGCCTTCAAATAGACCGTTAAAAAGATAGGCTATCCTAAGCGTTTATAATGTAGCCTACTTTAAAAAATAAATGTGACAGTAGTCTATGGGTAGAAACCGGCTGTCTCATGTGTACATCACTGGTCCATATTATAAGTTTAATTTAACCCTCCGAGTGTTATTTGTTGCTGCAGCGACACATAACACACTTTATGTAGTGTTTAGTGCCGCTACAGCGACACACAAACACTATTTACGGCGAAGGCTCTATGACTGACTGAATCGGATTGAACTGGATCGAGTTAGGTATCGTTCTTTTTGTTAGATTCTAAGCTTTCTCCAGAGGTCTGTCTCAGCGCTTTATGTTCTCCGAGCCGATCGTAATTGTAGCAGACAGCTGACGTGCGTATTTGTAAACAGCTTGGTTATAACCTCGGACCGATGACTGATGTGTTTTATTACGTTTATCATTGTTTTAGTGTTAAAAATCAAAAGTAGGCTAGTGATATACGTGGTGCATTATAAGAAGATTTAAGTGATTTTGAAGGGCTGGTTGATGATCCTGAAGAAGTAGGTAGTGATATTGTTGTAAATTATCAGCCAGATTTCTAGCTATGGTTAGGCTAGATGCATTCTTAGCTAAACGCTATGTACTGAAATCTGTTTTTTGCCCATAGGCCTAACTTATTTATTTGCAAATCTACTTCCTTATAATTATTATATATTTGTAATCCTCATAAAATTAATTGAACAAAGTGGCTATTATCAAATATTTATAGGCCTATAATTTATACAATTTCATTGAGCGCGAACTTATTTTTTTTGAAAATTTTCCAAAATATTTTTTTTTTACCTAAAATTTTTTTTTGAACAAATGTTCCTTATGTTTTATATATAATATTGAAGCCCATGATTTTCCAAACAAAATGGTATATAGAACAGTATAATTAACATTGTTTTTAAGCTTCTCAGATCCGTTTTAATAAAACCTTGCAAATGAGCTAAAAATAGGCAGACATTAAGGCCAAAACAAGGGACACTCAGAGGGCTAGATGAACAATTTTGTACCGTACCATTGCGGTAGTGAACACGGGCTGCACTTTACTTTACGTCTTATCTCATTCGAATGAAAATATCGATCGATATATCGATTATTACAATATATCGAATGAAACTATAGATATTTTCATTCGAATGAGTGTAAGACGTAAAGTAAAGTGCAGCCTAAGGTTAACCTAACCTAACTAACCAAACGGTATATCGAATGAAACAATCGATAAATTAATATTTTCATTCGGTTGTATCATTCGAATGAGTGTCTGACGTAAAGTGCAGCCAAAATGTATGCCTAAAGGGATAGGTTATTTGGTCTAATGTGGCATGTAAACTCACACCATAGCAGTTAAAATGTATGCCTTGAGGGATAGGTCACACTCATTCGATTGGTTTTTTCGATTCGATATTTTCATTCGATATATCGTTTGGTTAGTTAGGTTAACCTTACCTAACTAACCAAACGATATATCGAATGAAGCAATCGATTAATCGATATATCGATCGATATTTTCATTCGAATGAGTGTAGGACGTCAAGTAAAGTGCAGCCAAATAGGTTATTGCATCACTTTTAGTAGTCTTTAGGCCTAGCCATGGTCTATCCCTACAAGGCTGAAGGCTGGAGAATAGCTTGCCTTTGGTATGTGCCTTCATACTTCCACACCCGCAGCTGCACATCGTGCTGGGAGGCGAAAGTTGAAGATTATTCGAAAAATCATTCCTGTTACACATATGCCATAATGTCCTGGCGAATTGCCTTTTAGCCGGGCCACCACTCACATTATGACGAACCAAATTGGAAAAACTTTTCAAAGAGGAAACTCTAAACACGGTTTTCACAATTCCATTCATTGTAATAAAAATCGTATTTCTAAACGAATTTCAAACAAACTATACCACCAACGTTAATCGATAACACGAAGAAAAGGCCGGTAGTTTTATCAGGGGACGAGAGTCGGTGGAGGTCGGACAAACAAAGCAAAGCAATTAGCAAGCACTAAGCAAGCAGGCAGGCCCAGGCACGGAACGGAGAGAGAGGTGGAGGTGGAGGAGAGCCAGAGCCAGGCCAGCCGCATGTAGTCCTAGTCCATGGTGGAAGGAAAAAACATAGGTGTGCTATTCCCACATATTCTGACGTCACTCGGATTGCAAACAAAAGATCATCTGATTGTAACCGTCAAATAAGTATATGTGTTTGTTTTGATTTGGTTGTTATTGTTTTTATTATTATAAAAACAATAACATTCAAATAAAAACAAATACATACTAATTTGACAGTTACAATCAGATGATCTTTTGTTTGCAATCCGAGTGACGTCAGAATATGTGGGAATAGCACACCTATGTTTTTTCCTTCCACCATGGTCCTAGTCCGGTGTTCCACCAAGGCTGAAGTTGGCTGTCGAGCATCTGACGAATGCTAGGCCATAAAACTGCCAGGACGAAACAATAGGAACACTCGCTTCAACTTACAACAGACCTCAATGTGAGACGGTGAAACTAATAATTTACCTTAAGTGTTAGCTCACCGTTTATCAACTAACATACCATGTTCACACGGCATTATCAAAGGCTCTCCACCTATGGAAATCATTTATATTTGTTACAAAGTCTAGTTTCAATAACTATTAATGACATATTTTAAGCTTTAGACCTGCCACCACCTAGGTTGTTGCTGTAGAAGTCATCGTCGAAATTTAGGATTTATTCAATTAGCTCATCGTTGTATCGCTTAACACGCCATGTTTACACGGGATTATCCAAGGCTCTCCACCTATAAAAATCATTTTTAATTGTTTCATAATCTAGTTCCAATAACTATTAATGACATATTTTAAGCTTAGATCTGCCACCACCTAGGTTGTTGCTGTAGAAGTCGTAGAATCTTAGGAGTTGTTCAATTAGCTCATCGTTGTATCGCTTAACACGTCATGTTCAGACGGGATTATTTAAGGCTCTCCACCTATAGAAATCATTTTTAATTGTTTCATGGTCTAGTTCCATTAACTATTAATAACAAATTTAATATCTTACATCTGCCACCACCCAGGTTGTTGCTGTAGAAGTCGTTAAAACTTACGATTTATTCTATTAGGTAGCGCACTGTTCACCCGTCCACTTAGCACGCAATCACACGGGATTTTCCAAGGTTCTCCGCATGAATAGAAATGATTTATTGTTTGATGTTTTATTCCTTTACCATTAAAATGTTTTATGCGTTTATAGTAGCATCGCCATTTGTTAGTTAATCTCAATATTGTTTTCCTACAGTTACCTAACAATGTACATGTTCTCTCACTCTCACTGATTTGAGAAAGCAAAGTGGCCAATTCGCTCATCAGTGAGACAATGTTAACATTGTCTTACTCTTGACTCTAATTACTTTGTCTCACTCCAGATTTGCAACGTGAAGGCACGAAATAGTGAGCGCGTAACATGCAGGCAACGTCGTATGCGCGCGAAATGTTGGCAGCACTGGATGTAAATCAGCTGGTCAGCTGTTGTACTGGATGTATTTGTCACTTCACATTAAATGTTATATTAAAATTTCACTTCTGTGTAAAAATATGTTATGTTTCTTCACCAATTTATTTGTTTTATGTTAACTGTAGGAAATAGTAGTTTACGCAACGATTGCGTTAAGTGAGTCTTTACGACACGAGTAGAAAATTTAAGGCACGAGCCTTGGCGAGTGCCTTAAAAACTTCTACGAGTGTCGTAAAGACTATTAACGCGAGTTGCGTACACTACTTTACCTACGACCGTTTTTTTAATTACTATCAATCTGGATTTAATTACTAACAATAACTACTGATAACTTTTTAGAGAGGTTATGTTTTCGTGTATTGTCATTGCCACTGAAATTGATGCAACGACTTGTTGTATAATCAGCTGATTTCCTGTAATTACGTGTTTGTTAAACTTCGTTAAATATTACATTAATAGTAGCATTCTTACCATAAATAATATTGTATCAGGTACAATTCGGCAAATATTTCATTTATTTTTGGACTTCCACCAACTTAATTAAGAATACGCGAGTATCAACATGAACAAGTCGGATCAACAATTAAATTGGTCAAATGATCAGCTGATTAGTTGACGTTCGAAGCATTACAATTTTAATTATATTCTCTCAATACTTGAACCTCATTGGTCCGTTACCTGTGTGGATATGAGAAAACTATGCGGATATGAAATGAAACTATGCGGATATGAAAGTAAACAGCTGTAAAGTGAAACTTTTCAATTCTAAGAACTGGACTGAAATGGCTACTTTAAAAAACGGTCGTAGGTAAAATATAATGTGCAACTCGAGTTCAAAGTACAATTGACTCACTCGAGAGAAACCATTCAAGGATTTCTCTCGAGTGAGTCAATTGCTCACTTTTCTCACTTGTTGCACAAATAACTATTTCATAAAAATTAACATACTCACCCTCGTGTTTACCATGCTCTATACTACTTACTGTGCAGGTGCTACAATCAGCAGTTTCCTCATTGCTGCTAGATGTGCTAGTCCTCAGCGGAGACTGGAGAGCTCTCCCCGCATCTCTGCAGTCAGGATCCTCTCACACTTCATCACCCTAGGTGTAGTTCCGTTTTGGGGTGATAGCCTTGGGGGGAAGGTGATGTGGACGGGCGGGTAGCGCGGGGTCATTATGCGCGCCTTCCTGAAAACATCGTGTAAACAAACTACTACTAAAGACGCGACTCCGCACCTACGCACGCGCAGCGGCAAACTTATCTACCTTTGGACATTGACTAAGGAAATAAAATGTTTCCCTTGTCTGTGCCTTGGACATCGAGAAGTACGAGCCAGGGCTAGAGATGTACATGTATATGTATATCTCTACTCTAGCCCTGAGTACGAGCACAGAACATATATCGATCTTACATCACTGGCTGTGAGAAGCCCTTGTGGCGAGCGCAACTAATTAAATGTTTGTTAATATTAATAATATGAGTAACATTATGCCTTGGCATTACGGATATTTCCATTAATACAATGACCTTCAAAACCAGCTTTTAAATTTTTTCTAGCGTTTGCCGTTTCGACTGTATTAATTGTTATAGAGGAGCTAAAATTTTTTTCACCACACTATGATGTTTTAGCTGTTTTACATAAGTTAATTGGTGGCTGAAAATTACGTTTTGCTGGACATGCCAGCTGTCATCGTCATTTGGGGACAGAGAAGGTTTTTATATCCCTAGGGCCGCAAAATCAGCTGCCCGCTTGCTTTCTTAAAACATGAATGCATATTCAAGACACATTATTGTGGTGAATGGTGGTGGTATAGTGTGGTGAAAAATAGCGTTCGTGCCACGGACCGAAATGGTTTTACAGCTCTCGATCGTTTTAAGTTCGAGACGACTATCTGGAGCCGGTAAAACCTCATTTTCGGCACTAGGTACGAAATATACTATATTTGCATATGATTACATTGAATAAAACGATGGAAATTTTAATAGGTAGAGGTTAAAAGGTAGAGGTTAGTCTATGTTTATAGTTAGTAGGTAGGCCATACATTCAATCTAATACATAATTATATGAAAAGAAACTCAAATAATCCTTAGATTTCCCACATACCTCTGTCTTAATCTGATATATATGCTTGAAATAGATTTAACATCCGCACACATTAAAAACTAAAAAGTAGAAAATAATTTATAAATAAAAACTTGTTTAAAACAAAACGTTTTGAAACGCACTAAAAAGTAGAAAATAATGTTTAAATATGTGGAGAGTATAAATACTTGTAAGATTTAAAACGAAAAACGTGGGGTGCATGCAGTTGATAATAATACATTAGTTAAATAGGTTAAGGTAATTGTAAATTATCTATTGCATGCACCCCACGTTTTTCGTTTTAAATCTTACAAATATTTATACCCTCCACATATTAAAAAATTATTTTCTACTTTTTAGTGCGTTTCAAAACGTTTTGTTTTAAAACAGTTTTTATTTATAAATTGTTTTAAACTTACTTGACCAAAAAATGAAAAAGTAGTAGCCAACAAACTTTTTATGTCACATATTTCAAAATTCATTTAAAAGTACCGACTTTGATTGAATATTTAAAATAGAAAATATTAACTTTTAACCTTCCCCATGAGTTGCGAATCTACAAAAATGTCGAACTCATTGTGTTGCTGAAGTGGCAATCGATAAAATTTGTTGATTACCGTAATACTATTCCCGTTGCATTTTACTTACATTTATAGTCAGTGAAATTACGTAACTCACTAACCTTGTAACTCGTATACAAATGGAAAGATGAGATTCTGATGTTTAATTGTATTATAATAATGAGCCTTATAAAGCCTCGCCTCCATTGACCGAACAGCCATGTTCATCGTTTAGTGTTCGACTGACATTTCGTACTTCCGCTGTAATCACTGTAGTTGAGCACTAAAGTGAAAGAAAACGTCGAACAAAATCAGTTGAACCATGTACGCACAAAACTGCCAAACAAATAGGCATTCTATTTATGTGAACCAAATATATAATTGACATTGGATACTGCAAGTAGACATTTAACTTATGATAACCAGATGAATCATAGACTTTGGTTCCTTCAAGTAGACAATTCATTTACGTGAACCTGAGTTTAAAATTGACTTTGGATACTGCAAATAGACATTCCATTTATGTAAACCAAATATACCATTTACTTTGGATACTGCAAGTATATATATCTCATTTACGAGAAATAGATGTATCATTGACTTTAGAAGAGTATTTCATCAATATGCTAACTCCGCTCAATATTGCAAGCAGACAACTGCATTGTACACCTAGTATATAAGTAGATTTCTTGATTTCTACCTTATTGCAGTGGTACCACCCGTTTTTTAGGGTACCTATCTATATATATAAAAGACAAAGCCCTCACTGACTCACTCACTCATCACTAATTCTCTTACTTCCCATTTACCTAGGAGGCTGAAATTTGGTACACTGATTCTTTAGGCATTAAATACGAAAACTAA